TTTAGGACCTAGAACCCAGATCTAGTGGTTTCCCTTTGAAATATTTTGATTTGAGACTGGATTTGCAGGTTTTTAGACTGATTTTCATAAGCTTCTCTCGCGCAGCTGATTCCACCGGTCGACCGGATCACATGGAAACCGGTCGACCTATGCGGTCGACCGGATTGTAGGCTGACCGGGCGACCGGTAGTGTTGCACTGCTCTGTCACCGGTCGACCGGTTGACATGGGGTTTGACCCTGTTTGGCCTGAAATTGCTGTTTTGACCCCTGTTTTCAGGGAGAACCCAAATTAGCTTCATTTGGGGACTTGAGATGGATGGATTTACATCTTTAATCCTTGTTTTGAGCTTGAAAACCATTGGAATGATAATTTGAAACATGAAAATGGATTAGGGCACGCTAATAGGAAATCTTGGTTGGAAATTGAGATTTGGATTGCTTTAGGAATGAGAATTAATCCTAAAGTGTTGTCTTGTATCAGTGATTGCTGAGGATTTAGGCTGAAGGGGCTTGAGGAAGCGGAAGCCGGAAAAGGCAACGCTAGTCTCAGGTTTGATATCGCGAGGTAGGATTTCTATCCCTTTTCCTTGTGAGCTTGTTTTTAAAAAGAAGATTTGGCCTTGAAAATGTTTTAAAGAAAGGGTTTGGTTTGTGAAAGAAAAATGCTTTGAAAACTATGGCTTGATTAGTCATGGAACCTCATGGCTTCTCCAGTCATGGGCCCGCGGCTTGAGTAGTTCGTGGGGTCATATTAACGATTTCAGAATGTTAATGAATGATTTCTTAAGCAAAGAGATCTTATGAACTGGTAAAAGAGTCTATTACTGTAAGCCTAGATAGGATGCGGAGAGTGCATCCTCAGGGGCATAACCCGAAACTCGGTCCGGGTAGGCGAGGCACTTGGTTAGGTAAGTAATTTGTACTAATTACTTGCTGAAGCCTGTAAAAACGGTTATTTTCAGTTATATTTCCTTTGAGAAAAAGGATGTGAGGTTCCGGCTGTCTGTTGGAACTGAATGTCTTATTTTATTTACTTATTTATTTATTTGTTTCCTCGCTTACTTATTATTCATTTATTTATAACGTTTATTTCAAATTATATCCTACTGGGCCTTTCGCTCACGTTTTATATTTCAAGTGTATTAAACCCCTCCCAGGAGACTCTAGGAGCGGTGCAGGGTAGTGGAAGATTGCTACTGTTGGATCAAGTGAGGATTGAGTTCATCTTCTTGGACAAATGTAAGGAATTTGAGAAATTCTGTAAACTTATGTAATATTTGGATTAACTAGACTGTGGTTGATGTCTGTTGTAATGATTATTTACATGAGCATGTATGTACGATATTGTATGTCCTGTGGGGTGGAGCCCTGTGTGTCAGAGGCTCTGGAATTCTATAATTTATTTATATTTTAATGCAGTTGAGTGGGGCTCATCTGGAAATCTGCTTTATTAACCCCTAATCGAGCTCCATGTCACCCACCCCGTTTGGGGGGCGTGACATGTTCGCACTGGTTCGGAGATATGGTCGCTAGCGTTAGCTGAAGGAGATTTCTGAAACAGAGCTCATATTTGCACTTCTAAGGCGAGGTGCTCGCCGGCGTTCGCTGAAGAGATCTTCGATTTGCTGAAGCAGACAACGAAGAGCCGAATGGAGAGATCGGTGTCGAAGTCGGTCGCTGAAGCAGATCGACAGATCTGCACTTCTCAGGTGAGGTGAGGAGAGAGAGACCGAGAGGAGGAAGAGAGATTGGGAGAAGCTAGAGAGAGAGAGGTTGAGGGGAGAGAGAGATTGAGAAGAGATTCTGTATAGGGAAACCCTACAACTAAGGGTAAAATTAGAAATTTACTAATTATTTTAAAAGAGAAAATACAAATATGTTCTAATTCACTAACTTAAAAAAATGCTATTTACTTCAAACATGAATATTAAATATGCTATATCGTGTATTTTCCCGGGCGATAATTTGATAATAGGGGGAAGAAAACAAATACCTAAAGTTTAAAGTGCATGAGTCAAGATTTTTACCCATTCTTCTTGATTAACAACATTTTTAGTCAAATAATTATACTAACAAAAGGGTATTAATTAAGAATGATGAGAAAAAATTCAAGCTCATGCACTTTTAAGAATAAATTCTGTAATTTTCTCTTGATTTTTCTTCATTATTTTTTTTTGCCTTAATTTCACACCACGATAGAGGGGGAGTTTCTCCCACTTTGAAATTGGAAAAGAAAAATGATTAGAAAAATGGCAAAAAGAAATCACACCAACGAATTTATTTGACTGATATTGGAGTTTCAGATTTGTACTACTATTTCAAATTTGTGCCACTATTTCAAATTTGTACCACAAATGAACTACTTAAAGATCAACAAAATATGATATAAATTAAAAAACATGTAAAAAAATTATAGCATGTCATCTAATTTTCTTTAAAGAAATGAGTGATTAATATTTTATTTTATGGGGTTGCAAGACTATTCATTCTTCCTAATAAAATTTTTAAGTTATTCATTCTGATTTAAGCAATCTATCCCGTTTCATTTCTTGGGTTATTGGTTAATAAGTCTTTCACTATTGACTATACTATCATAACATTCTAGAGATTTGAACTGAACACTCAGTTTTCCATATTTTCTCTTTTATTGTAAATTCGAGAATACTTTTCCTAAGAATAAGTTAATTTGAATAAAATTATTCTGCGAATCTTCAGAATTCGGACTTTTCTCATTTCTGGCCCAATTCATATTCCTTTTTTATAAACCAAATTATATAGATAAATCAGGAACGCAAATAATCCTCTGGGATAATGAAGTAAATAAAATGTGAGACCATGGCGAGCTGGCAGCAACTTTTTCAAAGGAAAAAACAAAAGGGAAAAAAACAAAATTTAAGACCCACGCAAAGCTGAAAATGACAAATGAAAGCAAAATTAATAAACAAAACCCTTCTTACCAAGTTCAAAAAATTGAAAATTCCATATATCTTATCCCTTTGGTAGGGTGAAGAAAGACAAAACTGTTGAGAACGTGAACAAACTTGAGTTGAAACTATGCTGATTCAAAATGTGCTACAGAAAGTCATCTGTTACTTGAAGTAAGGTTTGCGCAATAAGGGCCACCCCTCTTAAATATATGTTTCTGATCCGTCTCCCTTTTCTTTCCGGAAAAAAAAATATATATTTAACATGAAAATGATCGGTTATGTTTGGAATTGATTCTATTTTTATTTTTCACATTTTTTGAAAAATAAAAAATAATAACGTTTTTAAAACGATGTTTGGCGCAATAAAGATAAAAAACGGAAATGAAAATAATTTTTTAATTTAGTTTAAAATGAGCAGAGAGAGAGAGAAAGAGAGACATTAATGTAGTTTTTTATACTGAAAATAATCTCTTGGTAAAATTACCAAACGCATTTTCAAAAATGATTTTTATCTGAAATTAAAAATGTTTTCAATTTCATTTACATACAAAAAATAAAAATAATTTTGGAATGAGTTTCAAATGCGCCTGATATTTCTCAAAATACCTTAAACATTGATAATTATATTCACATGCTTTTGCTATACTAGTTAGTCCTCACACCGAGTTAACAAGTTCATGCTTATATTAGTCGTGGTAGATTTCTACCTACTTCGCAAACGTGCTACCTTTCTAATTAAGAAGGGCATACTTGCATATACAGTACTTAAGATGGCATCTGACATGTAAAGAGCAAAAATAAATGTGAGTCTCGTATCATTTAAATATAAAAATAAATATTAATTTGTAAGGACATTAATCACTCCATTTAACCGACCAGTTAATCTTTTAAAGTAGAAAGTCAAATCATTACGAAGTCTAATTTTCATCGCAACGTATCTAAGTAGCTAGTCATGTATAAGTTTTAGCTCCACAATATTTAATACTGTAACAAGTGAAATATAATTGGAGTAAAACTATTTTATTCAGATTTATTTTTTTTTTATTTTCTCCATATATCAAAGTTGAAAGCCAATATCCTCCTTTTTATCTCCTCCTCGTCGTCGCCAGATCATGAGGCCAGTACCTTTTGCATGTCGTTCATAGAGATATTCTCCCTCTCTCTCACTCACATGACACAATAAAATAAGTGATGATGGGTTGGGCAGCATTGGGGACCGACCTATTTCTTGTTGCCTTTTGGTTTCAGAAACCAAGACGATGCCAGGATATCTAGCTACTATATATATTTTAATTATTTGATTAGGTATTTAATTTATAAAGCAGCTAGCTAGCGCTGTTAAAATAAAAAAAAAAAAAGAAAATAAGCATATTAATTAACTGGCTAGAAAAAACTAATTAGTGTATATATATAGTTACATACATACATATGTATAATAGATACTGAACCATGCATGCATATATTATAGAAAAGGAATCTAAATAACTGTTTTCTATAAAGCGTGTCTGCAGAAAATTTAGGATCCGTTTAGTTTGATGATTTAAATTTTTAATTTAAATTGAGATGTGATTTTATATGAAAATTTTTAACTGTAATAAAAAAATTAAATGTGATTATTTTTAAAAAAATTTTACTGTAATAAAATTTAAATTAATAAAATAAACGAGACTTTATTCGTTAAATATTGTTCCAATCATGCGCCTCATGTAAGTGGACATGAGAGAGGGAAAAACGATTTTGCTTTTTCTCTTTCACCCCCATAATGTTAAAAGGCCATAATCAACTTCTTATAATTATCATCCTGGCCGTATCATATCTTTCTCTCTTCGATCGATGTGTGTGAAATCTTGCTCTCTTTTTACTTGTTTGCTTTATTTCTACTTTTACGGCATAGGAAAGGTGGTGCGATGATTTAAAATGTACATAAAGAAATCAAGCAAAACTACTGTGTATAGATTTTATAATTGATTAGAATTAATATACAATTATTACTAAAGGAGAAAAAAAATATATTTTTTTGGTGTGGAAAGAAAACAAAGGAAAAGACAGAAAGTGAACGTCAGAACAAGCATGTTGGCTTAGGCTGTGGTGTAGGATGGATGGAGAGCTTGAAAGGAATCCCTCCTTCATCCACATCTCTCTCTCTCTCTCTCTCTCTCTAACTCACACGTATCCTCTCTCTCTCTCTCCCCCCCCCTTTCTATCTCTCACCAGCACCAGAATACATTTTTTTAAATCTTTTCCGATTATGTGAAACTGATATTGGTTTATATTGTTTGCTTTTTCTCTGGATTTCTTGGTGTTTAATTTGCAATCAGCAAGCTAATTAGGTGGTTGTTGAAGACTTTATATAAGGAGAATTAATGGCCACAAGGTAATCCAACTTGAAGTAATTCTTTTCTTTTTCTTTATTTTTATTTGTCCTTTTTCAATTTTATATATGTTCTTCCTTCTGACTTTTTCTTTTTGTTTTTCTCTCTTCAATTTTTAAAGATTAGAGCGTTGATGTGAAGGAACAGAAAATCACCAAGAAGTGTACTTAGATATATTCATCGGAAAGAAAAGAAAATAAAGGGATTTATAGACATATATGTACACTGATGAGAAGCTAAAATTAATGCGCTTTTGGAACTGCTTATTCCAACTTATTATTAGGGTTTGCAGCACTCAGATTTCATCAGGCCAGTACAAAATGACCATATATAGATGAGATCTGATAGCTCATAAATGAATATTCTGACTAGTTTTTTGTGGCACCAACCACAGAAGAAGTATATGTATGGCTAGCTAAAACTAGTGATATAAACATATATATGTGTGTGTGTGTGCGCGTGCGCGTGTGTATACATTCCTCTGATTTGTAACACCACAAGATAGAGAGAATATATATAAAAAATGATGAAGGGTTTGATAGTGGATGACAACATGTCGAATTTGACTTTTGCATCTGGCGAAGTAAGTGCTTCTTCAAGTACAAGAAATGAATCCGCTGCCAACTTGTACCCTCAACAGTCCTCTGCTTCAACAAATCAACCACCACCACCAAAGAAGAAACGAAGCCTCCCAGGAAACCCAGGTCCCAAAATCACAGATTAATTCAGCTCAATATATATATATATATGTATATATGTACATCTATGTTTTTTTTAAACTCAGCATTAGGATTTAAACTTTACACCTTACCGTGGAGTAAGAGTGGAATTACCACTAAACTATATCTGAAACTACATTATTTGATACTTCTATGTCATCATTATCTGGCAGTTTACGGTCATGTACTAGTTCAATTCGTTTTCCGTTGATATTAGCTTTGATTTTGAATCAGACCCAGATGCTGAAGTGGTGGCCTTGTCTCCAAAAACACTACTCACAACGAATAGGTTCATATGCGAGATCTGCAACAAGGGGTTTCAGCGAGACCAGAACCTTCAGCTCCACAGAAGAGGGCATAATCTGCCATGGAAGCTAAAGCAAAGGACAAACAAGGAAGTGGTGAGGAAGAAGGTTTATGTTTGCCCAGAGCCGACATGCGTACACCATGACCCCTCAAGGGCTCTTGGGGATCTCACCGGCATTAAGAAGCACTTCTTCAGAAAGCACGGCGAGAAGAAGTGGAAGTGTGAGAAGTGCTCAAAGCGCTATGCTGTTCAATCGGATTGGAAAGCCCATTCCAAGATCTGTGGCACAAGAGAGTACAGATGCGACTGTGGAACCCTTTTCTCAAGGTATATATGTTATATATAACTATGTAAGAGCATATGAATTTGATGTACGTACGTAGTAATATTTTATAAGCCAAACCCACATTTGAACGAACCAAGTAACTAATCACTTTGCTCTCTTGAATGTGCTGAGAGAGACGGAGAGAGAAAGAAAAGAGTATTCGTGTGTTTAGCTGCAGAAACCATATGTATAGATATATGTATATATAGTATTTTTTTTTTCCTGAGCTATATATATTCACATGACTCCCTTTAGAGAACTAACTAGTAGTGGCCAAGCTTTTTTAGGTTCTAATATCTAACGTAAAGTGCTTGTCGTGATATGCTTTAATGGGTTACAACCTGCTATTTATATCTTCATGCCATCATGTCTCTTGTACTGCCTTCCTTCAAAGCAAAATACAAAAAGGTGCATGACATGTGAGCGAGACACTACTCTTGTTCCCCCAAACCAAAAAAAAAAAAAAAATGAATGAAAGAAAAAACCCCACTACATATGTTAATGTTGCGCTCTTGTGACTTTGCCATATTTTTAATTGGGCTTGTACTTTTTGTTTGTTTGTGCAATTAGTTTATAATTTGTAACGCATATATGACACAACAGGAGGGACAGCTTCATCACCCACAGAGCCTTTTGTGATGCTTTAGCGCAGGAGACTAGTACTAACACTGCCAGAGCCATGATGAGTACAACTGCGTTAAACAACAACAATAACACACTTCTCCTCTCGGCCGCCTCCTCGTCACAAGCATTACTACTACCTCCACATCTCGACAACATGACACAGTTTGGAGCCCTAAATTCACTAATCAAAAGAGAAGCAGTACAAGAAGCTGTAGTAAACGTTCCGCCGTGGTTGTCGCCGCCGCCGCCGCTATTCTCCACGGCCACGCCCATTAATAACAACGTCCTCGACAACTCTTTCACACAACAACAGTTAGTAATGAGCCAAAAACCTAACCCTAGCCCAGCCCCACCGGCTCCTTCGGCTTTCGCTTCGGCCACTGCGCTGCTTCAGAGGGCGGCCCAAATGGGTGCAACAATGAGCAGCAACAGCAACAACCGTTCTTCTTCATTTTTCAAAGCTCACCAGATGATGTCGCCTGAGAGTAGCAGTACCAGTATCATGGGCCCAAACGCCGCCGTTTTGGCTCACCATCAGATGTTGATGGAGGCGGGGAGTAGTACTACTAGTACTACTCATGAACATCATGATTTCGAAGCGGCTCATCTCGTCCATGACATGATGAGTTCTCTGCAGACGTCTGCGCCTCCTGCGAATCATATGATCATGGCCGGTACGCCGACGTTTGGAGATCAAGCGGCGGCGGCTGGTGCTGGGAACTTTCTGGAAGTTCCGTCAAGCAGTAGTACCGGCCGTACAGTTACTGGCCGTACAGTTACTGGTGCTGGTGGGAACTCGGAAGCACAGTTAATGAGGAGTGGTGCTAGTAGTACTAGTGTGGTCGGATCAGGGAATAATAATGTTAATGATGGTTTGACAAGAGATTTCTTGGGGCTTAGGACATTCCCAACGCATAGAGATCAGTTTTTCAATATAGTTGGACTTGATCAGCACATGAATTCCAGTACGGCCTTTGGAGATCATCAGAAACATCATCCTGATCACCAAACACCTTGGCAAGGTTAGCTAGTTTCGTTTCTCATTCATGTAAGAGCTAGTACGCTGTAATTCGGCTGAGGAGTACGTACTTAATTGCCGTAATATTAATTAATCTTGCTATAATACAATGATCTCTTTCTTAATTATTTTGTATTCTGTTCCAAGATAGCCATATTTTTCAGTCGCTCTTGTAGTATATATCAGATGAATTTTCAGGTGCCCAATGTCTTAACGGAAGGTGTGGTATTTTAATCTTTCATTGATCATTTTGCATCTTTCTAATTTCTCTAACTGAATAAAGGTATATAGACATTATATGCAAGACGGACTCAAGAACATGTGACTAATTATAATACAACTCTAAATGACTTTATTAATTGACCAATATAGCAAAGTAATTTAGTACTATATATGTGTGTGTAAGTAAATCTTTAATTAATTAATTAATTGCATGACCGTGAGTATGTAGCTAGACTATCTAGCTCTGCTAATTTTTTATTAAAAAAAAAAGTTAGTAATAATATCTTCTTTCGCTTTTCCAATTTCGGATACTGCTTTTCTTCTATTGACAAGTACCCAAGTGGCCCTTTTCTTTCGTCGTCGTTGATCATGTTAAGTCACTTTATTTTTAGATGGTATATATTTCAGTCTGGAAAATATTGGAATATATGCGCTCGAGTTGTTTCTTTTCGAAATAATAAAATAAGTCAAATGTGAAAAATGACTTTGGATTGCACGACTACGATCGATTCCATGTTTATATTATAATTTACATGCAAAAGAGATTGTATGCTTGCAAATTCTCAAACGGAACTCCTGGTCTTGTAGTTAAGATAATAGATGAAAATTGATGAGTATCGCTTTTTTCTCTCTCTCTCTCTTCAAGTTGGTATAAAATTAAAATGATGGGTCGTATAGTTCGCTGAATCGAGTTTTTAATTCAAGTTAAGATGTGATTTTATGTGAGAGTTTTTTATTGTAATAAAAAAATTAGATGTGACTATTTCTAAGAGCTTTTTACCACAATAAAACTTGAATCGGTGAAATAAACAGGAGCGATATGTACATATGTCACGTGTTTATTAATAAAATCATTCAAAATCTGGTGAACTAGTGCTGCCTTGAATGCAAGGACAGTTAGGGGAAGATCATTGGCCGACATGTGTGGCCCTTCCACGTAAATTAGCTAGCTAGCTCGCATATGTTAGTTTTGTCCCATCACATGCATTATTGCATTGCATTAATGCAATTAATTTTAAGAATATCGAATCACCACCAACACTTTTCAAAACGACTAGTTTAAGCACGTGCATTAAGTTATAATTAAAATTTTTATAGCGTAGAATACGACAATAATGCGCAGGAAAAAAATAGAAGAAAAATGTTACTTATTCAAAATTGTATGCATTTTAATTTTAAGTGTTAGTTTGCATATCTTAACGGTAATTATTTCACAAATGATGCCACCAAGAAATGTAGAATTTGAATCTCTCATAGCCCATTTCCAAAAAAAAAAAGTACGAGTTAATAGTTTAAGTTAAAAAGTTAAGTAAAATGCATGAAACATTAAAAATAAGATAACAAAAAAAAAATAAAATAAAGGTGTTGAAACTTGAAAAGTAAAGAAAAATGAGTAAAGCACCTAAAAATCATTGTTTTGGAGTACCATAATATAAATGTAATTATAAAATAAAAAATAAAAAAATAAAGAAGTTGAAATTTAAAAATAAAAGGGAAAAAAAAGTAAAGCACATAAAACTCACCATTTTGGAAAACCACATAATGAACAATAGCCACTTATCCACTGTTTCATAGAACAAAAAAAAAAAGATAAAGAGTTTAAAATAAAATAAAGGAGATATAGAAGAATGAAAAGACAGAAACAGTTCGTAAAGGACTACAAAAAATTGACAGCATAGCTCCCGCCCACTATTTTATATTTAAAATTTAAGATTAAGATAATAATAGAATTTAGGATTAAGATTTAAGGTTTAGGATTAAAAGGTATATACCTTCTATATTCAGCTACAAAATAATAAGCAATAACAAAAGAAAAAGAAAAAGGAGAAAATAGTTTTATAATATTGTTGTATAAAAAACTTAATACAAATTAGTTAGAAAAGAGTTTAATTAACATTTAAAAAAACTACCCACACAATTGCATTAATATATAATAGGATAGAGGATGAACGAAAAATATATATATACAAAGGCAAAGGAAAAGGAACGAAGGGGAAGGAAAAGGAAAACAAAAAAACAAAAACCAACAGTTCTAGCTCAATGTGGGTATTTTGCTATGGTATATAGGGTATTGTCATTTTTAGTAAAAGATAAAATTATATTTATACTAATTAAATTTGCTCTTGATAAAAAAAAATAAAAAATAGCCAGCTAATTTTGACTTTTGGTAATTAGTGCATATTATAATGACTTTTGGTAATTAATGACTTGATAATAACCAGGAAAAAAAAAAAAAGAAAGGAACAAAGTAAACCAATTCTATGTGAAAATTGAAATATATTTTTAGTGCTATACAAAAATTAGAAGTATATAACCGTAGTAATTAGTATACAAAAATGGGTCGACCTATTCCATTTCATTTGTGGTAGAGACCGTGTCTTCTTCGGTTAGAGGCAAAAATGCTTTCCCATGCAGAGCGACCCTTATGAAATCTGTTGTTCAAGCCTTTCTTTCTTTTATTTTTTTTTTATTTTTTATTTTTTTTTGCATTCGATTGTCCACGTTTCGACTTCCTCCCTTACGTAGACAATATATATATATATATTAACTCAGAAGATTTTTTATGTTTTTCAATTCAACGCTGTTGGCTAAGTTGGTTTGGGATTTTGAGTCTAAAACGGTAAGTTTTGGGTTAAAGTTTTTTTTTTATTTTTAAATCAAAGTATGATCTTTAGTTTCGCGTCATTCGCTCATCATGTCCGAAGTGTGATGGCTCTTAAAGAACGACATTGTGACGTTATTTTCTCAGTGTGCGCTTTCGTTCGTGCTCTCTGGTTTGGCTGCCGACTCGGATTTAGACGGGGGAAATTCCAGCCTGCAGCCTCGTTCCTTGCTGGATTTGCTGCTCACGCGCTTTCTAAGTGGGCTTTTGTCTGTTTTTGAGATTATAATTCCTTTCTATTTTGAGGTGACTACTCCTGGTACGTACTGTTTCTTTCTGTTAGACTTTGGTGTTGTGTTTTTGGCTTTGATTGGCTTCTGCCGTGACATTTTTTATAAAGTAAAAATAAAAGGAGTTTCTTTAATCAGATAAAAAATAAATTATTAATAATTTTTAACTTTTAATTGTTAAATTTGTATTAAAAATTATATATTTTACATATTTTTTTAATTTAATGTGATTTTAATTCTATCTAATAATATATACTGACATTATTAGTACGAAGGCTTAATGAAAAAAGCCCCAAAAATAAAATAAGTATGTTATTTTACTTAAGATACTAGTGCTTAATGAGGTCATCTCCCTGCTGAGGTCATCTCCCTACTATGATCATCTTCTACGCAAATCTCAATACCACTTCTGTATTTACTATTTAAAAAATAAAAATCACATGTTTGATGTGTGATCTTATTTTGTACTCCAATAAATAAGGATATGTTAAATGTTATATCTAACTTTTGTCATAATTATTAAAGTTAAAAATTTGTAAAATAAACTTTTAATAATTAAATAATTTAAAATGAATGTGATTTGATGATTAAAAGAAGAAGTTATTGCATGCTCAACAAACAGCAATCAAATGTAAACATTTCAGTAAGAAAAATGAAATCATAAAATTTGGCATTTGCTGTACTTGGTTGTAAATTTTATCGCCAAGTATGGTATTTATTAAATTTAACATAATAAATAATATTTTATTAAAAATTGTTTATTTTATTCAAATATCAAAATTAAATATTGACACATTAACGGCCCATTTGGTTCATGAGAACCAAAATTTAAATTTTTGTAAAAAAAAAAAACACACAACATAACCACTTGAATTGAGTTAGGACTCCTTTACGGCCTCGTTCACTTCGCGGATTCGAGTTTTCAATTTGAGCTGAGATGTGACATTTTTTTAGAGCTTTTTACTGTAACAGAAAAAGTTAGATGTGACATTTTTTGAGAGCTTTTTACAATAGAAACTTAAAATTGAAAACTCGAATCGGTGAAATGAACGAGGCCTAAACAAGCACCAATTTGGTATTGATAGGAGATACTCTTATCACGACATCTTTACTTCTCGAGGTACAATCAGCACGGACCTGTTTGGAAGAATTTATGCTTTTACTTTTAAACAACAGAAGAAGAAAAGTATAAGTGGGCTTTTTAATTAGTTTTAGATAATACATATAAAAGAGCTTTTTTATTTCAAAAGAGCTTTTAAACATATTTGAGTAAATAAGTTAAAAGCTCTTTTGAACATAAGAATCGTTGTTCGCTGACTTTCTAAGTTGATGGGTTTGAAAAAGGGCCCATAACATCTGGGCCGACATACATATTTTATAATAAAAACTATGGTAAGTTGATGGGTTTGAAAATTTATATATAATCAGCCAAGCAAATTTGGGCTATATTGTGATAGTGGACAAATATTATTGTATTTTATATTCTTATCATACTTTGAAAACGTATAAGACCTACAAATATTGAAACGAACGTGATTTGGCACACTCGAGTATTTGTAACTTCTTCATTTTTCAAGGGATTGTAACTTCATTACTCACTACTGTTTTTTTGTTTTGCTACTGTTTTAAAACTATCACACTATACCAACATTTTTTTTTTCTAGTTTAACATGGTGGGAGATATTATGAATGCGTTTGAAACTCGTTCAAATATGATTTTGTTTTTTGTATGAAATGAAAATAAAAACGTTTTTCATCTCAGCCAGAAATCATTTTTGAAAATGCGTTTAGTAGATTTATAAAGAGATTATTTTCAGTACAAAAAAATCCATTAATGTCTTTCTTTGTTCGAGAGAGGAGAAAACGAAAATAAAAAATGAAAAACGATTAAACCAAAAAATTGTTTTCATTTTTGTTATTTGTTTTTATTACGCCAAACATCATTTTAAAAACGTTTTCATTTTTTTCTCAAAAAATGTGAAAAATAAAAATGAGATTAATTTCAAACACGATCTATATGTTAAACAAATCTCATAGGGGTTTGTTACCAAAAATGGGAAATAAAATTTTGGGCAAGGAAAGACAAAGCAAAGATGTCCGAATGATATCCATTTCCCAAGGGCAATAGTGACATTTCACGTGGAAGATGTTCTACTACACGCACAAAGGCCTCGTTCACTTCGCGGATTTGAGTTTTTAATTCGAGTTGAGATGTGACATTTTTTAAGAGCTTTTCACTGTAGCATAAAAAGTTAGATGTGATATTTTCTGAGAATTTTTTACTGTAAAAATCTAAAACTGAAAACTCGAATCGGTGAAATAAACGAGGCAAAGTATCGCGTGCAAACTAGAACCGGAGATCATTCGCTTAGCCGCGTTTGTTTGGTTGGATATAAGATCCCCGACCGTGTTATTAACTCGTTGCTTTGCAGTTTTTGTTCCTTCTTCGCTGCCGCGAACACACGCACGCACTCTCTCTCTCGTTTTCTTTTTCGTCCCCATCTTTCTTTCTCATTTTCTTCCGCGCCAAGCACCAAGTTTTATCGGACGGAAAGCTCTGGAGAAGGTGGAGAGTGGGAGGAGGTCCGTGAATAACGAGCTTGACGTTTGGGTCTCGTAACAGAGATGGCTCTGAGGCGTCTGATCATGGAGGTAACGCTGAATCTTGGCCAAGATTCGTCTCTCTTTAGATGTTTATACGATTTCTGTTCTCTCTTGGTTGTTATCGATCGTTTCGTTCGACGATAAAATTTGACTTCTTTATCGATTTTGGGAACCCTAATTTCAGATATTGATTTGTTCTGATTATTGATTTGAGTTGTTTTATTTGTTTTATATTTGTTCTGTTCAGTTTTCCTTTCTAGCAGTCTTATTCTTTACTGTTGATGATTTGAGGCTATGATTATATCGACTTTACGGTATTCTTGGTTTCTTACAAATTGGGGATACTCGTGGCGGATTTTTGTATCGCTACCCAAAGGACCTTTTGAGTAGGATAAAAGAAGTTTATATTATTATACAGAATTTTCTATTTTCATTTTCTTGGTTTTGTGAGAAGATGGAATTGAAAAGGGACTCGCTTTTGACATGTTATATGGTGAGTGGAAGCTGAATTTTAAGTGGAAATTGTTGGATTGAAATGGGTTTTGTGAGATAGCATTTGGGTCTGGTCTATTTGGCGAAATTATAATGGTGTTTTTTGAGGGATGGCATGAAATTGAATGGAAACAAGAATGTGTCCCCAGTGTCATAAGTTATCTCTACAGTTAGGTTGCACTATCAAAGTCTTTGGAGAGTAGTTTTGGAAGCTTATCTATTCTATTGATATCCTGCTTGATGATTGTTATGGTTTGTTTGAATTCAACTCCGTAAAATTGAACTCCGTTTTCCTTGCAACAGGTTTCAAGGAATCGGTCAGCAATGGAACAATATAAAGTTCTGCTTTCTAGAAGTTGTATGCTGCCTGCACAAAAGGTTGGAGGTGGTGGAGGTATGCGTAATGGGATTCTCTTTTTTTTTTTTCCTGCTTATCCTTGCTTACTTTTTTCGATTCATTTCTATAAATAGAAGGACTTTGTATCTTGATTTTAAAGACTAGTTATTTTCAGGTCAATTTAGTGTTTCGATTTCACTTGACAACACTTTTCATTTTTTAAATCTTAAGAAGTATCATTTCAATATCAGGTTACCCAATTTCCAGTTTTCTGTTTGGGTTTACAGTTCACTCCTGTGGCTTTAGGTAAAAGCTAAAGCAATCTGCTCCAAGAATCTTTATTTATAGGAACAATTGCTTTTCTACTGTTTCTGCAGGGAACATGCTTTTAAATCCTCAAGGGAGGTTTCAGTCAAGCTATGTTGGTAATTTATCTCGCAGAGTACGTGATGTACTAGACGAAGCCCATGAAGTTGCCCATTTGAAAGAACTTTACCGTCGTAGTGATTATGAAGCAGTGATTAGATTATTTGAAAGTGAACCATCACTACATTCTAATCCTTCGGCACTAGCTGAATATGTGAAATCATTAGTTAAAGTTGAAAGGCTGGATGGGAGTGAGTTGCTGAAAACACTGCAGAGAGGTTGGCATCTATATGGGTTTCTTGTTTTGTCCTTTTTGTAATGTATGTTTTGCTGTGATTATTCTTTTTATCTAAAGTAATTGACGACTTTGTTTGGTATTGAAATCTAGTACGTTCTTCATCAATTGGGCGACAATTTTATTCTCATGTTGTTAACTGATGGTTTCTGATACTTCATACTCTTTAATGGGGCCAGCATGGAGGGTTGTCTAATTTATGCTTGTTCTGATTCCCTTCCTTTCTTCCCGTCAGTGATTTTTTTTTTCTTCTTATTCTCTTTTCTTTTGTATATGTTTGATTAGACCTTATTTTTATACTTATTTCCTAAAGTAAACTGAATCTGCACTTTGCAGGTATTTCTAAGCATGCAGGGGAGGCAGAAAATGGTGGTGGGCTTGCAGCTTTTAGGAATTTTGGGAAACCTACAAAAAATGGTATACTTGGAACTGCAAGTGCACCTATTCATATGGTATCTGCAGAAGGAGGTAATTTCAAAGAGCAGCTGTGGCGTACTATTCGTACTATTGCACTGGCTTTTCTCCTGATTTCTGGCGTAGGAGCACTGATTGAGGATAAAGGCATAAGTAAAGGTATTTCTACCTCTTGTGATGTGAAATGTTTTTACTTTAAATTGTGTATCCTGGAATTTAATTAACTTGCTCTTTTCATGTTTTAGGGCTGGGTCTAAATGAAGAGGTGCAACCTAGCATGGAGTCAAACACAAAGTTTAACGATGTAAAGGGTGTTGATGAGGCAAAGGGAGAGCTAGAAGAAATTGTTCATTATCTTCGAGATCCTAAGGTATAAATTCAGCATTGTTTCCATCATTTCATACTCTGTCTTTCTTACGTTGTGTGTGCTCTGAGCAGCGTCTAAATCAGTCATGTTGGATGATACAGAATGCACATGAGTTACGTTAAGCCTACTAATTATTTTGCATGTATTATCAGCTATGTGCACTCTTTTTTCCCATGGCTGTTCAGTTTTATTTAATATATATATATTTATAGTTTTGGGCATACTTTATGTTTTACTGTTATTAGTTGTACCGAGCTATTACTTTTGGCTTAACTTGATTTTCATTACTTCAGCGCTTCACTCGTCTTGGTGGCAAGCTTCCAAAAGGTGTTTTGCTTGTTGGCCCACCTGGCACTGGCAAAACAATGTTAGCAAGAGCTATTGCGGGAGAAGCAGGGGTCCCTTTCTTCTCTTGTAGTGGCAGTGAGTTTGAAGAGATGTTTGTTGGTGTTGGCGCCCGAAGAGTGAGGGATCTTTTTTCTGCTGCAAAGAAGCGGTCACCTTGCATAATCTTCATTGACGAGATAGATGCCATAGGTGGTAGCCGCAACCCCAAGGATCAGCAGTACATGAAGATGACACTGAATCAGTTGCTTGTTGAACTGGATGGTTTCAAACAAAATGAAGGAATCATTGTGATCGCTGCGACTAATTTCCCCGAGTCACTTGACAAGGCGCTTGTGAGGCCTGGACGATTTGATCGCCATATTGTTGTTCCTAATCCAGATGTTGAAGGACGGAGGCAAATTATGGAGGCTCACATGTCAAAGGTAATCTCTTACTTTGGAAGTTTAAGCCCTTCCTTTTATTGAGGTTAAGCTCGAGTTGCAATGGATACCTGTTGCTGTTTCACTGTTTCTCAAAATTGTTTATACAAGACCCTAACATGCAAATCCTCTCTTCAAGTTCCATCCTCTTAGTTTGTCATGTATGCGTAACTGATACTCATGTGCTTAATGACGCCCTTAGTGTAGCATATGCTTTAAATATTCATTCATCCCACGTGTTTGTCTTAAACATAGTAATAAAACATCAATTTTTCAGGTTCTTAAGGCAGATGACGTGGATTTGATGATCATTGCTAGAGGGACTCCTGGGTTCTCAGGTGCAGATCTTGCAAACTTGATTAACATCGCTGCACTGAAGGCTGCAATGGATGGTGCTAAAGCAGTGAGCATGGCTGATCTGGAGTATGCCAAGGATAAGATTATGATGGGAAGTGAGCGCAAGTCAGCTGTAATATCTGATGAGTCGCGAAAGCTAACGGCTTTCCATGAGGGTGGACATGCTCTTGTGGCTATCCATACCGATGGTGCTCTTCCAGTTCACAAGGCGACAATAGTTCCCAGAGGAATGGCTCTTGGCATGGTTTCCCAATTGCCTGATAAGGATCAGACGAGCGTCTCACGCAAACAAATGCTTGCACGACTTGATGTTTGTATGGGTGGACGTGTTGCAGAAGAGCTAATCTTTGGGGAAAATGAAGTTACTTCAGGTGCATCTAATGATCTCAACCAAGCAACAGCTCTTGCAAGAGCAATGGTCACGAAGTATGGTATGAGCAAAGAAGTTGGGGTTGTCACCCACAACTATGATGACAATGGGAAGAGCATGAGCACAGAAACTAGGCTTCTCATAGAAAAAGAAGTGAAGTATTTCTTGGAAAGAGCTTACAACAATGCGAAAACCATTCTTACCACCCATAACAAGGAGCTCCATGCCCTTGCCAATGCCTTGCTTGAGCATGAGACACTGTCGGGTAACCAGATAAAGGCTCTGCTTGCCCAATTGAACTCTCAGCAGCAGCAACAGCAGCAGCAAGTAGTTTCCACACAGAGTAACTCACAGTCTAATCCAGTCCCTCCATCAACACCCAATCCAGCTGCATCTGCTGCCGCAGCAGCAGCTGCAGCAGCAGCGGCAGCGGCTGCAACTGCTGCAGCCAAGTCTAAAGGCATCGCTCCCGTTGGTTCTTAGCATGAGGTTGGTAAGTGACTCCTCTTTCTAGTAAGCTATGGATAAAGCTTTAATGTGCATATTAGTAATTTACCAGCCTCTTTCGGAGCTTTACTTTGATTTTTGCTGCCAGTGAGGTTTTTATTGATGAAATATTAGTGAAATTGACTGGAAACTGTAGAAGAGTTGGATTGGCGGTTAATGTCGCTGTTCAAATTAAGCCCATCGGAAAACATTCATTCCCTCTTATTTTTCTTGCTTTAATTTTTCCTTTTATCCTCAAACATTGTTCCGTATACAGTGAAAAGAAATAATGGTCACCTCGATTTTTTTTTTTTTTTTTTTAGGAGTTATCGATCAGCCACGGATTATGATACCTTGGATGAATTTGTTATCAAGGGTTTATTTCTATATCATCTCCAATCATGTCACTTCTTTATACACACGCACACACACCAACTTGTAGATCGCTCCCCAGGTGATCGAATTATTGGTAGAAAAAAAAAGGATAAGCTTCTTGGAAGTTCAGCTACGGTGTTTTTTGGCCCCCTAAAGAATAGAATTTAAGCTACAGCTGAGGTCATATACTATGTACTTGTGTACAAGCATTGATGTATTTCCTAATTTAAAATGTTTAAAAGATAATAGCAAAATTTATTATGGGATTTTTTATGGTGTGACCTTAATAGATGCTTCATTGCACTGTTTTTTACTGTTATATTACTTTTACCGGTGAATTGTTTTTTTACGGTTAGATTATTTTTTTAACGGCCAGATTTAGAATAAGAGCAGTTCTGTACGATGCGTTGTAAATTTTTAATGTAGATCTTCACAATTTTAATTGTTAAAAAACTAATTTAACGGTTAAAAATACATGCTCCACTTAGAGAGCATTTATTCTATATTTTGTAAAAGCACATGGAAAAGTTTTTACAGTAGTCGAATTTCGATGTATGGTGGGAAGAAGAGTGAAATAAAAACTGTGTCAACGACAACGAGTGTTTTGATTTTCACATGGATAAAATATGTTATACTACCACTTTGGTGGGAAAGTTACACAGAAAAGTTATTAATCACTTTTTTTCGCTGTGTAGTAATTACTAATAATAAAAAAAACCATCATTTGGTTGATATAGCCATAAAGATGTGTTTTTTTATGTGTTCGATGCTCTATAATTTTACTTTAGGATCTTTGTTCGGTTTGTTCGGTTAGTATATTGTGTGGCGTTGAATATGCAGTGACATGAGTAAAAATGATATTCATACTTTAAGTGGAATTGAATTATATCCTTACTGTTTCATTGGTTGATTATGACACCAACAATTTTCTTTTATTCAGTTAAAAAAAAAAAAAAAAAGAAAAAAAAAAACCTTAGTTATTTGCTTCACGTCAGCTTACATAACGTTTGAGGTATCAATAATGCCTAACACCAAAATTATTAAGTGTGGATTTTGTTGATCTATTTTTGTTAGTGTATGATGTTGAAAATCACTCGTACGGGTTTCGAAAAAATCGTCCATGTTCTCAAATTTCGTAACAAAAGGAATTTTTAACGTTTTTTGTCTCTTCTTTTTTTTTTTTTTTTTTTTAAATATGGTGTCTAAACTCTGAAGATTTTTTTTTTATGGACGTCCTGAAATTATTAAACGACTAGTAACTTGGTCATTTTCGTTAAATTCGGTTTAAATTTTGACAAAAATGTCTTTAATGTAATCATCAATTGTAAATAACAATCTAAAATAGGGTGACAATTCGTGTTAATGAGTTGTGTTCTTGTCCAACCCGTTTATTAATTGTGTCAGAGAATATCAACCCAAACACGATCTATTTATTAATCGTGTCAACCAATATAATCCATTTAAAATAATATATTGAATAAACAATTAATACAATTAGAACTTATTTAACACGATTACGACGTTTTACAGTTTTATTTGTCTATTTATCTTCATTTTTTTAAGAAAACAAGTAAAATTTATCTAAAAATTTTAAAATGCATGTTATTTGTATTTAATACATAATATAAAATTTTATATTATAACATATATAATTAATTTACAAATAACACATAATCGTGTCACTTTGGGTCACTTTGTGTTAGAGAGTTGTTGGGGTCCGGTTGATTCAGAGGTACTACATTGCAATGGTGTACACGTGGGTATACCCGGTTTGATGGTGAAACTCCTACATAGGTGTGATACTTGGTGTCTCCGGATATAGACACGATGGCAGGACCTCCAATGAAGATGGTGGGGTCGACTAGGCCCGAATAAGGCTGAAGAAAATGGACTATAAGGCCTTTTCCGTTGCTGAAATGATGAAAATAGCCCTGCGAAAAGAGTTAGGAAATCCATAACAACAAGAAGAGAACCACGTAAATTGAATTCGGTGGGAAGAGTAATCAAGTAGTTGATGGAGAAGTGACTCAGGTTGAATAAGGCATTTTTAGAGAAAATAAGTGACTTATAGGGTAGATAAGGGTATGATAAAGAAAATGAGACTACTCTGTGAGCCCGCACATGCAGCTCCGTGGGAGAAGTTTTGAGAAAGCCCCAAGAAGGGCGAGGTCGGGCGAGTCAAAATGGCTGATGGCGAGAGCAGAGTCTTGATGCCTTTCAAGCCTTGAAATATGCTCTGTGAGACGAAGGTATTCGAATTTGCCAACACAGGCTCAAGAACTTCCTTGTGCTCTAAGGAGGGAGCAGATGAAGATCCGGTGGAGCTTCCTGAGTAACGTCATGGCTTGGAGCGGACCAAGACTAGCATAACCTCAAGAACAAATGAAGAAGATATGAAGAATTTCTGAAGAGATTTTAGCAGAGTGAAAGTAAGTTATGTAAGCTTGATTCGTCCCCTTGAATATGAAAGGAAAGAGGTATTTATAAGAGAAATCTGGAAGCAGTGGCATTTGCTCCAAGGAATCGTACTGCATGCTCTGAGGGAAGCCTGCACACACAATTTTGTTTAAAGCAAGATACTAGCCAGCCCCATAGAGCTGTCAAATAAAAGAACCAAAAATGAGAAAAATGGAGGCGTTCGATGGTAGTTCAGGGCTGTACGAAAGAATCTAATGGAAACTGATGCAGCGCCTGCTACCAGAAGAAAGAGATTATCTTTATCTTTAAATTCTAAGTTTAGATAATCTCTTTATTTTTAAAATTAGAAAGAGATTAATTAGAGATAAATATAGATTAATTAGAGATAGTTTCCTTTTTGAATTAGTTTCCTTTTTCGATTTTGAATTGTAATTCTCTATAAATAAGAGGATAGCTTGTTATTTTCATCATTGACGTTTGATAATAAAATTTTCAGAGAAATTTTCTCTCCACTTTGCTTATTTTTTAGTATTCTTTCGAATCAACGAATTACTCGCCTTCCGTTTTCCAGTATTCTTTCGAATCAACGGAATTACATGACACCTTTTACGCTTCCGCTACGTTAAAAACTAATGCACACATTTCCATTTGAAGCAAATATCTACAGCTGTCTCGACGAAAAAATGCCTAAAAATAGAATGGAAGGTTCTGGAGAACTGCTCTGTGATAGGTTCGGTGACGCTCTAAGAAAGCTTTGCACACGCCATTCCTTACGGAGCAAAATGATTGGACAAAGTAGAGATGTGATTGGAATAATAGCTTGAAGTAGAAGGAGATTAAGACAAGACTGAGATATATGATTATTAAAACACTTCTTCAGGTCTGAAACACACATGATCACATGGGATCACATTAAATGCTATGAATATTTCCATTCTCGGAGGTCTGATCACGACATCAGAGATGTCAGGTCAGACTCATGTTATTTCTGTCTAAGCAGCCATCATTCGGAGCACCTGACATAAATCGCTCCAAAGAAGGCAACCCAGAGGTATGCGCATGGACTCTCTCGGAGGCAGATGCAATATAGCTCTGGGATGGAAGTCTAGCACAAGAAAAGCCTCTGTTAAGCTAGAAGATTATGACAGAAGACCTTTTGACAGTAAGGAATGTTTTAAAAGGTGAAGTTCGGGGTTGAAGGAGCAATTTGGGCTTTGAAGACACACAATGAAGTAGACTTTAACGAGGGGTTTTGGGCTTCCCACACAAGGAAGGCTTTAGAAAAAGGCTGAGGACTCCATTATCCATTTATTCATAACATTATTAATTTAGGAAACCCCCCAAACATGATTCAAATTAATACGAAAGTTAAGAGATAAATGGGCCTACTTGATTACCCATGGCCCACCAAGCCATGACCCACGAGGTTCCCTGAGTGTGGCTTGGGTCCACGAAACGAGCCCAACAATGTCGTGGGACACAGATTATTGGGCATGGACCCTTGTACGGGCATAATCAACAAAGGTCAACCTTAACCCAACCCGTTTATTAAACGTGTTAATCGTGTCAACTCAATTATTATAGTAAACTCAAACTCGCTAACTCCATGTAGGTTTCAAGTCGTGTTGTAGTGTCCTGACCTAAATTGCCACCCCTAATCCAAAGCACATAAACTTTAATTTTCGTTCATATAAACAAATCATCAATTATTAATAAAAGAAATCCTTCTCATTAATGTCCATTCTCTCCTCAGTAAAGAAACCCTAGGCTTTTTCGTTTTAGAATTTTTTTAGGGGATTTTCTTCAGTACGCCTCATTATCAGTAATGCCAATTTCTAACCATTAAATTTGGTTGACATCACATCAACATGCTTGATGGAATGAGCCTTCCATCAATCTAACAATACATAAAAGAGTCAAAGCTCTTTTTTATGGGGTTGTCACATGACAACCCCTCCACTTATCTCTCTATCTCTTTTACTTCTTTTATCTTTATTTTTCTGTGATTTTTTTACATTATAATTTTTTGTGTGTTTTTTCTAATAATATATAAAAGAGCCAAAGCTCTTTTCTATGGAGTTGTCAAGTGGCAACCCCTCCACTTATCTCTCCCCCCTCTCTCTCTCTATTACTTTTTTTATCTTTATTTTTTTGTGATTTTTTTACATTTTAATTTTTTGTGTGTTTTTTTAAAAATATATCGTTCCTCACATTACTCTTATAAGAGTAACTTTTTCACGTGTTCCTATCTTATTTTTAATTGGTTAAAATAACTCTTTTCAAATATGTCTCTTTAATTCTTTTTAGTCAATTGTTATCTCTACACATATTCATTTTTAAAATAATTTTAAAAATCTTTAAATAATTGTATAAATGTATTTTTTATTATTCAATAAACAATAAAATTTTCAAGTCTCCTTAATGTGATAATACGTGCGAAGCACATTACAAAACTAGTAATTAGGTAAGTGGCACATAAAATTAGCAACAAAAAAAAAAATGCAAGTGGCACATAAGAGCATTTTGTGAAGAAGTTGGCCAAGTCAAGAGTTCAGGGATTAGTTTTACCAAAAAAAAAAAAAAAAAAAGAACCAAATAAAACGTTCAGTAGAGAAGAATAGCGAAAAAGAAAAAAAAACAAAATTAAAAATAAAAATAAATTAAAACGAAAAAAAACAGCTATTAATGAGAGCCAAAAAAAATCTATTGATTTTTTTAGGATGATAACTAGTGGATTACCCATGCATTTGCACGGGTATGTAATAGTTTAATTAATAATAATTTAAATAAAAAAATGAATAAAAACACATAAATGCTACTCAAATCTGTATTCAACGGTAGAAAGTGCAACGAAACAGCAAAT